TCATTGAAATTAAATTTTAGTTTGAGAAAATAAATAGTTCAAGTTCTCAGACTATGAGGCTTGTTCAAAAAAACAAAATAAAAGAAATATAAAGAAAGTCGATGTTTGGCATACAAAAGTCGTTGGAAGTGATAAACTTATTGTCTGCCATTATTTTATTTTATTTTTTTATTAAACATTAAATAAAAAGAATTTAGAAATATTCCAGTAAAAAAAAAAAAAAAAAAAAAATCATGTTATGGTTCTCTTGAGGGGGGGGGTTTCTGCAGAATGATGGCACCTCTTCATCGCAATATTAAATTTAAAAATATTGTCAAAAAACAAAAAAAAATTGTAAGTAAAATATCTTTCAATTCAAACATTCCACAGACAGAATTTTTTTACGTCTTAAATTATTGAAATGACCTAAAATTTTAAAAATCAATCAATTGAACTAAATTTTTTTTTTTTTTTGCGCAAAAAAGTTTTTGAAAATAAAATATCGAAATTTATAACGTTTCAAAAAGTCAAACTCACATTAAGTCTCTAAGACATTGGCTTCTTTTTTTAGTGTAGATTTTTAACTATTTTTAATTTCCAACTTTTCAGGTCAATTAAGTAAAAAAGAGATTAGTTTTGGCATCTTTCATTTCAACAAAAATGAAGATGAAAGAAATACTAGTAAAAAAAAGTTCATTAAAATTTTAGTTAACAGTGAATCTTTATATATCTCCAAGAAATTCAAATCCCCCACACCGCCCATTTCGACAAGAAAACAATGGCTTTTAAATACATTTTTAGAAAATAATATTTGAATTTACACAAAACTAAAAAATGTGATCTTTTTAAAAGCAATTTACTGAAAAATAAGGAATTCAGAAAAAAAAAAAAAAAAAAAAAAAAATCAACAGATGTCACGCCGTTGTGTTACCAGGTGTAATAACTATTTACTAAATTTATTTACACTAGCATACCAATTAATCATAAAAATCCAAGGATTTATTTATAAATATACTAAATTAAATAGCATACTAGTAATTTATAAAGTATTTTGGCTGCTTAGTTTTTCTCTTGCTTAAAAAAAGAAAAAAAAAAGTCATTTTTCCTTCATTATCGAAGGAAAAAATATTCGTAATTATGATATTAAAAAAATAATCTTTGGGAAGAGATGTGATTTAAAAAAAAAAACAAAAAAAAAAAAAACAAACAAACAACTTAGATTATTTAATAAAAATAGGACATTTAGTTTTTTTGTTGTTTCTATTTCCGATTTCGTTAGCAATAGCTCCTTTAAGTTTATATTTGTTATGAAATGAATCACTAGCGCGTATTTTTAGTTTAACTCTTGTCACTAAGATAAAGAAAAATAAAAACAGGTATTCAATATTCATTCAACTCAACTCAAGCCATAGTTGTTAAAATTACGTATAACAATAATAGACAACTTGAATGAGGTTACAATACATGTGACTGTCCTTATGTAGGGATAATAAATAAACTTAGTTTACAAAATAGACTAGTCAGTAGATTTTTAAGTTTAAATCCATATGTACTTTTGGGTTCAACACGTGTACTACACAAAACACAAACACAATGTTATTCACGTTATCCGTTAAATAAATCCCTAAAAAGAAAAGAAAAGAATAGTGTAAAATTAAAAATCTTTTTTTTTTTTTTTTTTACTTAATTTTTTTTAATAAAAAAAAAAAAAAATAGTTGTTTTTAAGTTTTCTTCCGTCGCCACTAAGTTTTCAATTCTATGAATTTTTAATTGAAGAAGCCACGACCACGACTCAACTTTCTTGGTTAACATTAACAACCTTACAAAAGCAACAAGGTACTAAAAATGCGAATTTCTGAAAAGAAATAAATGACTTACCTGTCTATATAGAAAGAAAACCGGGTAAAATTATAACTACAGGTGTGCCGTTGAAAATGTTTGTTGTAGTCTGTGGACAGGTGAACGAACGAAACGAGAAAGAAAGCCAAGTAAATGTTAAAATGCTCAAAGCAAGTCGCTGTGGTTGTTATCATTCGTCTTCTTGTTAAACTTGAATCGATAGGCGAAACCTAGATATAGAACAGGGAGATGGCAGGGTCGACCTTTTTCTTTGAGTTCAATTGTGTTGAGTAGCTCTAGCCTACACACTGATTGGAGCCCTTTAAATTAAGGTAACAAGAGTTGTTGAATAACGGGCAATATTAACACTCTAGAGTGGACTAGAGCCAATTTAACTGTTGACGATATGGAGAAGTCCTAGTTATTTGCGTACATCGATCCATGCCTTTCTTTTACAGATCACACCCGTAAAAAAAAAGAAAAAGAAAAGAAAAACGGAAGTTTAAAAATATAGTTTCACTCAGTATTTCACTGTTTGCTTACTTTCCTTCTTTGCATTTGGTTTGCAAAAGTAAAGTTTTTCTACTGTTTCCATAAAAAAAGGATTTATTATTTGTAAAAAAAATAATCATTAAGAAATGGACTTTTAACTTAAAGTTAGTCTGGCTAGCAAAAGGCTGTACAATTGCAGGGAGATGGTGGTGGGGCTTTTTTCTACCTCGACCAAAAGTTCAAAATTATGTTCATTTTTAAAATTTTAAGGGAGGAAAAAAAGTTATTTTTCTCGGTATAAGTCCTCCCAACCCCATAAACGATATCTTAACCCCCTAACCCTGATGAGGAAATAAAATAAACTTTTTAATATATGATATAAATTCCCAAAGGTCTTGAAAATCTTTACCTGGTGGGGGCAAAAAAAAAAAAAAAAAAAAATTATATATATGCGTTCTTGACAGCATTAGCCTCTTCTTCGGACAAAGTAACAAAAAGAAAAACTAACAACTTGACTGAACCTGTTCAGGAGGAATAAGTTTAAGTTTAAATTTTTCTCAGTCAAATTGATGCTAAAAGTAAAATTTAACCTCAAACTAAAACGTAACCAATTGTATTTTTAGACGTTGAGAAAAAATAAAATGCTAGGTACCACGATGGTACCTCGTATTTTCCCTAAAACAAACTAAAAACGCATTTTTAATAAATATTTTCTTTGAAGTTAATTTTTTAAAAAAAGATAATACTAATAGCCTAAAGTTAATCCGTATTAAAAGAAAAAAAAGTTGGTTTTAGACATTTTTAAAACATTGGTACGTTCACTCGTCACTCATCGAACCGCCATTATAGACGGAAAATGTAAACAACAAATTTAAAAATCTCTTAAAAAACCAATATTTGCTCTATAGATGTGTTTCAAAGTCACTTAGTAAATTTAAAGATTAATTAACTAGATTTTGTAGAAGTAATTCTTAATGAAATTAACGTTTGTTTAGGCACAGTTGTCATAGGACAACACAGAAACTGTATAAACTGGCAGGGAGACGGTAAGGTGTGTGTGTGTGTGGGGGGCTTAACTTAAGGAGAAAAAAAAACGCGCGAAAAAAAAAAAACAAATAATCTAAACAAATACAAAACACCGACAGTACAATAATCAAGAAATTGAATTGGTATTTATGTTTAAAAATAAATTATCTTTAACCTTATATAACCAATAATTTAAGAATATAATTTTTATTCTATGCGCTTTTATTAAACTTAGTACAATGAATATTTTTTATATTACATTAGAATATAAAAAAAGAAAAGAAATTAATTAAAAAATAGTTAAATGATACTTTTCAGTTTAATTTATTGCTATTATTTTTCCATTATATTCTTAGTAGTAATGTTCTTCGAGAATAGCTCGCTGATTATTGCACCACAACGAGCTGACCTTATTAAGTCAAGCGTATTTTGCGCACAAAACCACATGTATGGGGCACCTAGTAAGGATCGAACTCATTACTCAGAAATAGTGATCCCTGAAACTGTTACACTATGATTGCGACACGTACATTGAAGAGGAAAGTGTGATTTTATCTTGATCTCAAGTGTTTTTGTTTTATGGCCAGTGGATAGGATCTTTGAAGTCAGGTCTTCACTTGACCGGAGCGGAACAAATAAATAAATGAATGAGATCAAGCAACAGACAACCGGACATTGATGATGTCCGGCTGTTGGTCTCTATTAACAGTCACAGTTGGGATCGAGGAAGTCAGCTCTGATTCGAAGTTCTTAACGAAGGACCGACTGTAGCCTGGGTAGTTCCAATGTCGCCCGTTCATATTGCCAACCAGACGTCATGATGTGTAGACAGAGAGTTGGTTGGAGGGAAGAACTGAGCTGTTGGAACAACTTCTGCCATGTCAGTCTAAGTATCACCTACTTACCCACGTATAAGCGAAGCTCTAAATAAAACACCTACAATTAAAAACCTGGTTTGAATTCTCATTTTTCGGCGTTTGTTTTCATCATTTGCTCTATTGTGAACGTGCAACGGATATTTCCCAGTTTTTGGTGCACACTGATGAGAATGGCGACGGAATATGAGACTACCACTAGCCGATCGGTGGAAAGCTCGGTGAAGGTTCCGTTGTATGGTTATAAGACAAGCTTGTTAACCATTACGCTACAATTAAGTGTCCGAACAGCATGCATATGTTTTCATTATGGTTTCTTTGAAGGTTTTAAAAGCATACAACAACCAATATTTCTCTTTCAATTGTTGCACGTCTTCTTTGATAAACCTTACGAGTGAACTTTCAAAATTCCCGACACCGCTCGATTACTTAGTGATTGACGTAAATAGAACATCTAGTGATTTTTCAGATTTTTAATAATTTGGCAGATGTTTTTATTACGTTTAATTATAACACTGGTTTCTCGGCAAAATGCAATCATGAATATTGGGGTTAAAAGCATATACACTAAGCCAGAGATGTAATTTATGTCGTCACTGAGATAGTTTTACTTTTCCCACTGATACAAGAAGTCGGCATTCTCGTCTTGGCAAAGGTCAGGATTTCAAATGCTGATTTTCCATTTGGAAGACTTACTTTCTCTCCCTACCACCTTGTGCTATATTTGAACTTAAGTGGTAAAAAAATGCCTTTATTTAAAAAAAAAAAAAAAAAAAGATTTGAGGATCTACGGCCAGATCATGCTAAAAACACCGGTTCTTGTTCGATCCCGAAGTTAAGCAGCATCGAATCCGGTCAGTACTTAGATGGGAGACTACTTGGGAACAAGGTATACTTTAGGCACTCTTTTACAATGCGAAATAAGTTTCGGATTTAAATAACCCACAAAAGGCCCCGGATTTAGAGATTGTAGGTTTTGAGGAGCGTGGAACTACCTCTTAATTACTGTTATTCCCAGGTCCACTTTGACTCGGGGTGGTAGCACCTGTTAAGGTCCCAGCTATGGGCAAATAGTGACCCCTCCAAACAAAAATAAAATACTATGAAAGTATAAAAATACATTTTTATATTAACATTGCCAGCAGTACATTTTTTAAGCAAAATGACCAGCAATACAATTTTATGATAGAATTCTAACAATACATTTTATAGCAAAATGACCCACAATACAAACTACTTAGATTTCGGTATTAAATAACCCATAAAGGCTGATATGCCACTAAACAGACTGAAATCAGCAACATGAAAGAACTATTTCATGATATTAATCCATATAATATTCGACAATTACTTAAAACTATTCTAAAATAAAACTTCAACAACATAAAACACACATATCACTGCCTCTAGTAATTATGTCCACACAAACATGTACATGCACAAAAGCTGAGTATCATTTACTATGTATTTAATTGTGAAAGCAGAATTACATATTTTTATTACTTCAAAGTAACCAAAGAAAATTTCGTCATTAAATGTCCCATAAGGAATTGATATGTCTTTAAACAAATCAAATACTCTGCTGGTTACTGTGAAAAAAAAAAAATCTCTGGAACAATGTCTTATATTAAGTCTAACCAGCCTTCCCTCTGTAAGCAGAAGAGATAACTGCGAGGTTTCTCTGTTGGTTCTCTGATAATAATTCTTTTCCACCTTTTTAGTCGTTGTGCACATATTTACATGTCCTGTCCTTGATTGGCTCTGAAAAGGGATAACTGGTTTGTCTTTGTTGTGTTATATTTTTTTTTATAGGGGGTAATTTCTTCTTACTTTTGTATAAATTTAGACATATTTTTAAACTGTCCACAATTCCCCTCTTCACTTCTTGTTTTTTTTATTTTTTATTTTTTATTTTGCAAAGTGTACTCGTACTTCGCATTCCAGTTGAGTTCGTTACATTCTCTTACAGCGTTTCCTTTGGGAAATGTATCCATCTCGTCCCCCTCCATCTATGAGTTGAATAGAGGACAGAATAGGTCTTATAGCCTTAGTTGGAAACCAGTCTACCACAGAAAGAAACAGCAACCTACAGCGCGAAAATATTCTGCCTCGTCAGTCATGAATCGAAAGAGACATGATCGGCCAAGCGTGTATCACGAATGGCAGTTAACTGAATGACTAGAATTTAAATCTGCATCGACAGGGTGTAAATAAAGTATTTATCACATTTAAAAACAAAAATAGAATAACTGAGAAATTGATTAGTAAAAAAAAAGGTGAGTGCAGTGACTCCTACCAACCGAATCAATTGGTAAATATCACTCAAGACCAAAATTAAATGTATGGTTAGGGTTATCATCTGCAAAATGAACCTTAAAATAAATCTTGTCTCAGTGGCTCGTCTCCCCATCCATAGTGGAAGGGCTAGGGTTTAATCTCTGCGCTTGGACCATCCCCGAAGGAAAATTTCGAATGAACTGGATTACTTTTGGCCTCTGATCTCATGTATGCGTGTGACTCACACTATAAACTTGGCTTTGTGCCATATTCCATGCGAGGAGGCGTATGGATAAATACTGTATGTATGGACAAGTCTTCATTGATAAAAACATCACAAGTGGAAATTACTTGATCATATTGCACCATTGATTTTTTTCTTTTCTCCCTACAATTCCCCGGAAGAGCTTTGCAAACAACAATCTTTCAACAGGATAAGGCATCTGCATATTAATTACGTGTCGTCAAAGTTTTAGGATAGAAAATTACGAAATCAATGGCTTGGGAAGTGGGACCATTAAATTGTGCATAAGGTCCTTTGATTTCCCACCTTAAGATTTTTTTTTTTTTTTTGGGGGGGTCATATTAAGAATGCGGTTTACAATAGAAAAACGCAAACACTTGAAGATTCAAAACATTTAATCGAGGAAAAGGCGGGTTCAATAACACCTAAAATGTCAAAATAAAATTCATAGTTTTCATTGCATTAACAATAATAATAATAATAATAATAATAATAATAGCTAGCTTACGGCCATATCACGTTGAAACACCGGTTCCTGTATGATCATCGAAGTTGAGCAACGTCGAGCCTGGTCTGTACCTAGATGGGTGATCGCTTAGAAATACCAGGTGCTGTAATCTTGGATGTGTAGGTGATGTAATTGATAACGACTCGGAATTTCTTCGGAGAGCGGAGTTCCAATTGGGTTCATTATATTCATCTATGCGCAAAAAAAATGTATGAATCCACCTCTTCTCCACCCGTTAATTAGTAAGATTTTTATCACTAGAGCCATTATTATCTCCAAATATATAAAATAAATTTGCATAAAAAATGTTTAGATTTCGACATTAAATAATCCATAGAGGTGTTGGTATGCCGCTAAACAAAATCAACCAACCAAAATCCAAGTATTTAGATTTCGGCATTAAATAACCCATAGAAGTATTGATCTGCCGCTAAACAAAAAACAAATCAACCAATAGATAGCTCATCTGTTGAAAATTATACATTTACTTATTGTAAATATCACAGTTTGCCTCGCATTTTACTACTTAAATAAACTGGTCCAGTCATAAAAAAAAAAAAAATAAGGAACTTTTTTTTGCGGGGAGGGGGTAGTTTTTGTAGGTCTTTCTAAAGCCAAGACTTTAATCAGAATATCAAAAATATTAATTTCTCATCGATTTAGAATGGATATCTATACAGAGTAAATACTATCTCTGACTCTTAACAGAGTTATTGAACTTGGTTGTTATTTACAAACGTCAATTTGAAACTTTGCTTGCTTCAGTGATATCTGTAGTATAAGTATGTTTTTTAATTTTCTGAAATTTGTTAAACTGTTTTTTGTGGGGTGGGGCGTGTAATTTCGGATGTACATTCACAAACATTGGGGTAACAATTATTTATCCTAAATGAAGAATAAACGGACATATAGGTTTATTTTATTAATTTATGTAAAGCTTTCTTTTTTGTTTTTAATTATATATGTTTGTTCTTTATTTAAAATAAATCTTATTGCAACAAAAACAAAAGTCTATTTTCGTACTTAGAAAATTTAAGTCGAGATAACTCTGTAGTGTAAAATGTCACGGATCAATTTTATGCATCGATACTGTGAACAAGATCCCACTGATAAATAATAATAAAAAAAAAAAAAAAAAAAAATCAATATTTTCGATTCTCACAAATGTCGCATATTGAGAAATGACTCATGATTGTTAAGCTATAAAAATTATTTCCAAAACAATTTTTCCCTATTTTTTTTTATGAGTGGACCAATCTACTTAAGCAGTATCTGATTATTTTTTTTTTCTTCTAATTTTGTGTTTTAAATGTAATTACTTATACTCTATAAAATGCAATATGCATCTCTATCTCTCTCATATATATATATATACTAGCAGTAGAGCCCGGCGTTGCCCGGGGATATAACAGTAAGAGATAGATCAAGTATCCACCATCATAAAGACTGAAAAATAAAATTGACAAAGATTATTGTTTAAGGTTGACGGACACGCATGTCTTAATTAGTTTTCTTTTTTTTTTGTATTTTTTACGAATTGGTCAAACCCCAACTCAAACAAAAACATTGTTTTCAATCGTTATGAGTTTCCCAATTGAATAGAATTTTATTATAAATAATTGTCTTGTAAATGGAATTTTTAAAGCATTCTGAATGTTAAAAATAAAGAAATAAGTGTGCAAGAGAATAAGAAACACTACCTGCCCCCCCCCCAAAGTGGAGTTTTGTTTTATCGGCTGAAAAATATAGGAAATCCGCTCTCATATTTAAAGGAACCCACACACATAAACAACCCGATGTGAGTTGCCCTCCCCTCCATTTTCACGATGTCTCTTAATCGTGTTTTCAAATTGATTTTGTGCAAAAACAATTATATTTTTCCCATTTTGGGCGCTGTTAGAACCACCACAAGGTAATTTTATGTTGTCCTGTGAAGTTTTGTTGAAATCGGTTGAAAAATGTAGGAAATCCGATCCAATATATAAACGTTACAGACACACACACACACACACAATCTGCGTTTTATAATAAGTAAGATATATATATATATATATATATATATATATATATATATAAAGGCAAAAGTCGTTAAAATGGATAGGTTGAAGAGGTCCTGATGAGTATCCACCAAACCTCACACCCGTGGATTTTTTTCTGCGGAAACCATTTGAAATCAGTTGTTTATCATGTGTCCAAGAAATATTGAGGAACTTAAAGAGAGAATTAAATATGAATGCTGCAAAATAACAGAGGAACCTCTCCGATGTATTAATGAATCATCCAGACACAGAATTGAAATGTGTTTTGAAAAATGAGAACATTTTGAACAACACAGATGACAATTAAATAACTCGTAAATAAAATTTTCACGTGTAATGATGCTTTGAATAAATTATCTTTATGGTGCGCGACTTTTGCTTCACCCTGTATATAGGACTAACAAATATAAAATTTGTCACTTAACTGATTCAGAATCCCGAATCTAGAGTTTCGTAGACCTTCCATCAGTCGTATATAACACGTATTGTGTGTGTTATACTGGTCACATTGCCTGAAAACATTGTTACTGTATTTGGATGTGGTAGGATGTGACACGGGGTCGCTTTCACCTAGAGTACACATATGGGCCAAGGACAAAAACTATTCAGTCCCCGTAACCACTGCCACGCTGACACCAGAGTACTCCGACACTCCCACTTTGGTGTAGCTGGAGGAGATGCTGTTGTGGGTTTTGGAACCCTCAAGATCAGACTCTAATCATTGTTCAGCCGCGAACTACCAGAAAACAGAAACATGCACCGCTTCTCGCCCCATATTATAAGAATATGATAGAAGGGGTGGAAAAGATTCTATACTC